CTAAAGCTGAAGAACATGCATATAGGGTCAGAAAGCACAGAGTGAGGTAGGTGTTAGTATGCATGGGCTGGCAAAAGTCTACAAAAATTTAACAGCTACAAAACATTGGCTTAAAGGTACAGAACAAGTAACATCATTTTCCTATGTGGAAAATAACAATATTATTGTCTTTTAGTTCATTTAATGCACATAATAGGTTCTAATCTTCATTAGAGATACTTGTAGACTTATAACTTTAAACTGTGTTTGAGGATAAAGTGGTGTTCCCTACTGAGGCCAATTTTTCTTGCTTTACACCGTCCAGGTTTCATTGTTGCTTTTTTCTATTATTAGCTTCTGTATTAGTTCTGTAGAGGAAGAGAACCAGTAGAAGCTGTATAATGATACTGCTATAAGATAGGTGTGACAGGAGAAATTGGAGCTTTCTGTCATGTTATAGGAAAACCATGGGATTTAGGTATGGATTTATTTACAGTTTTGGCTAGACCTACGAAAATATCTCTTTATCTTCTCTTCAGTGATGTTATAATTTTGTAGAAAAAAAAATGAAAAAAAGTCCAGGAAATAGAATAATATAATAAGTATGATATTATATTATATTATAATATAATAATATATGATATAATGTAATATAGATTTAGCTATGATATAAATTGTCACGTTTCAGTAAACACCCACCCTCTTCCTCTATAGCCAGGACTTAAAGCCTATGCTGTCACAGTATAGGATCTCTTGTGGAAATTTTACGTTCCCAATACCTATTCTTTCAGGATCACTGCTACACTGTAATATAAGTAGATTTATTTTAAGGAATTGGCTTATGTGACAATTGAATTTTGCAGGTACATCCCAGCAGGAAGTCGATATTGCAGTTTATAGGCCTTCATTTCCTCTTCTCTCCTTTAGTTGATTGGATGTGATCCACCTACTTTTATTTTTTTCTCATTATTTACTTATTTAACTTTACATCCCAAACACCTCTTCCTCTCCCTCCTCTTCTCCCAGTCCTTCCCTCTTCCATCTCCCCTCTGTTCCCTGACCCTTTCTCCTAAGAAAAGGGGAGGCCTCCCATGGATATCAATCCACTTTGGCATATAAAGATATACTAAGACTGGGTACATCTTCTTCTATTGAGGCTAGACAAGGCAGCCCAGTTAGCGGAAAGGAATCCAAAGGCAGGCAACAGAGTGAGAGATAGCCCCTGCTCTGTTTGTTAGGGGACCTGCACTTCTGTTACATATGTGTAGGGGGCTTAGGTCCATGTCATTCATGCTCTTTGGTTGGTGTTTCAGTCTCTTTGAACCAGGTTGATTCTGTAGAGTATTTTGTGGTGTCCTTGACCTCTCTGGCTCCTTCAATCATCCATTGCCCTGTTCCACAAGATTTTCCAAGCTCCACCCAATGTTTGGTTGTGGGTTTCTCCATGTTTTCATCAGTTGCTTGGTGAAGACTCTCAGAGGACAGTTATGTTAGGCTCCTGTCTGCAAGTATAGCGGAATATCATTAATAGTGTCGGGGGTTGGCTCTCTCTCATAGGATAGGTCTCAGGTTGGGTTAGTCATTAGTGGGCCATTCTCTCAATTTCTGTCCCATCTTTATCCCTGAACATCTTGTAGGCAGGACAAATTTTGGGTCAAAAGTTTTGTGGGTGAGTTGAAGTTCCTATCTCTCTGTTGCAACTCTTGCCTGATTACAGGTGGTGGACATTTCAGGTTCCATATCCTTAGGAGTCTTAGCTAGGGTCACCCTTATAAATTGCTGGGAGTTCCCCTTTTCCTAGGTTTCTCATCCCAGACTTGTCCCTCCCTCCCCGACAACCAGGTTCAGTCTTTTTCCTAGTTCTCTTCTTATTTGATCCCTTCCCATCCCCTCTTCTACCCAGTTTTCTCCCACCATCTACCTCCAATGTCTATTTTATTTCCCCTTCTGATGAGATTCAAGCATCCTCCCTTGGGCCCTCATTGTTACTTAGCTTCTTTGGGTCTATGAATTATAATATAGTTATCCTGTACTATATGGCTAATATCTGCTTATAAGTGAATATATACCATGTGTGTCTTTCTGGGTCTGGATAACGTCAGGATGATATTTTCTAGTTCTGTCCATTTGCCTGTAAATTTCATGATGTCTTTGTTTTTAATAGCTTGAGTACTATTCCATTGTATAAATATACCTCATTTTCTTTATTCATTATTTAGTTGAGAGACATCTAGGTTTTTCCATTTTCTGCCTATATTAGCAAGTGTCCTTGTGGTATGGTAGAGCCTCTTTTGGCCTATGCCCAGGAATGGTATAGCTGGGTCTTGGGGTATAACTATTCCAATTTTCTAAGAAAGTGCCAGATTGATTTCCAAAGTGGTTGTACAAGTTTTGTAGTCCCACCAGCAATGGGGCAGTGTTCCCCTTTCTCCACATCCTCTCCAGCATCTCCTGTAACTTGAGTTTTTGTTCTTAGCCATTCTGATGGGTGTAAGATAGAATCTCAGAGTAGTTTTGATTTGTATTTCCCTAATGACTAAGGACATTGAGCATTTCTTTAAGGTTTTCTCCACCATTAGAGATTCCTCGGTTGAGACGTCTTTGTTTATCTCTGCATCCCATTTTTTAATTGCCTTACTTGGTTTGTTGAAGTTTAATGTCTTGAGTTCTTTATATATTATGGATATTAGCCTTTTGTTGGATGTAGAGTTGGTGAAGATCTTTTCCCAATCTGTAGGCTGCCATTTTGTTCTATTGAGAGTGTCCTTTGCCTTTCAAAAACTTCTTGGTTTCGTGAGGCCCAACTTATTAATTGTTGATCTTAGTGCCTGAGTTCTGAACTGTTCAGGAAGTTGTCTCCTGTGCCAATATGTCCAAGTTTATTTTCCACTTTGTTGTCTATTATGTCTAGTGTATCTGGTTTTATGTTGAGATCTTTGATCCATTTAGATTTGAGTTTTATGCAGGGAGACAAATATGGATCTATTTGCATTCTTTTGTATGCAGACATCTAGTTAGACCAGCACGATTTGTTGAACATGCTTTTTTTTTTTTTTTTTTTCCATTGTATGGTTTTGGCTTCTTTGTCAAAAATCAAGTGTGCGTAGGTATGTGAGTTTATTTCTGGGTCTTTGATTCGATTCCATTGATCAACCTGTCTTTTCCTATGCCGGTAGCTTTCTTTTTATGTCTGGTAGTTTTGTATTATTAGTTTGATTGGCCAAGTTATGGGTTTTTCTGTCTTGATTGATCATATCAATTGTAGGATCATAGCCAAACTGCTATGAAATGTGAAGGTGAGCTTGTCATCCTTTGTTTAGGAATATTAAAGGCATGCCAGTTTTAGATTAAGAAAATTTTGAACTGAGGATTTTTTTATCTGTAGCAATGTTAGGTACTCTCATTTTACTGAGTTTCTCATCTTGGTTAAACTGTCCATGTTAGAACTCTGATAGGTGCTTGGGACTAGAAATATTAAGCAGGACTGCGGTGTGGTGCTACTGCTGATCTGCAGTATAACTTTCTGTGACAAAGGGCTTCTGAGGATGTACCGGTAAATACAGTGAGAATAATTGACGAAAGTCTCTTTATGTGAATTTTAGTCCCAACTTCCTAACTTCTGTGAGCCTCAAGCAGCTCATTTAACCTGTCTGTCAACTTAATTTCTTCATAGGAAGAAGTTGTTAGTCTTTTTTTCTGGATGGAGTTTGTAAGGATTAATAAGATGTGGAAATACTTGGTAAAGTGTCTATAAGAGTGTAGTGTGTTCTTACTGCATTCAAATGGCCAAGATCTTTGAAGCAAATAGTGTATCAACATAACCAAACCCTAATTTTGATGCAGGTCTAATTAACATGTAAATGTAAGTCATATACTTACTTGATCTTAGTGTGTTGTGATAAAAATTCAAATGGATAATAGTAAATGGGTGATTGAATAGGGCAAATCATGGTAATATAGGTGAGATTTTAAATTAGAATTCTTTCTGCCTTTTTGGAGGCATGTTTTAGGTACTGTTAATTATTTGCAAAAATTCATTTGTAAGTATTCTGTTAAGATATACCTATTTCAGAGCTGTGAGAATTTAAATAAATGTTTTATTCAAGTAAATGGAATGTTTGCAGCTTAATTTTATTTTTTTATTTTTTTATTTTATTTTTTTGCTGAATTTTAAGCAGGCATTACAGGAATTACTGAAGCAGTTAAGGAGATTACACTGGAAAGCAAGGTATTGCTTAACATTTCTAAAGTCAGTGACCCTACTTTTTGCCTATATATAAATTTTAAATTGTATTTGTTTATTTTGAGTGTGTGCATATGCATGTGTGTATTTGATGCAAGCACATCGAAGTCTGATGGATAACTTGGGATAGTTAGTTCTCTCCTTCTATCATGTGAGCCCTGGGGATAGATAATCAGGTTTGTTTGCTTGTTTGTTTGTTTTTGCAACAAAACTACTAGTTTAAGTACATGGATTACCTTTGCTGAGTAACAGGTGCTAATGTTAGATTAATATTACATTTTGTAGTTTATTCTAAGCAATTTTATCATCTTTTTAAAAAAATTACTAGTAGTAACTTTTAAAAATCTGTTTTTAGAGGTTTAAATGTGTACTTTAGTATCAGCCAAATTGGTGACATTTTAAACTAAATAATTTATGTTTGGATGGGGTAGATATAAGTATATTTAGGTGAAGCTTTTGTGCTAGTACATTTTCACTTGCTTTAGGTTAGATGTATTAGCTCTTTTCTCAGATTGATCACATCTGTCTTCATATTTTTATATGTTGGTTTGAAATGCTGTGAAAAAATACACGATACCTGGTTTCTTTGTTTGTTTGTTTGTTTGTTTGTTTATCTGAGACAGGATTTATCAGTGTAGCCCTAGCTGTCTTGGTACTTAATCTGTAGACCAGGCTTGCCTCTCACTCACAGAGACCCACCTGCCTCTGCTTCCTGAGTGCTGGGATTAAGGGTGTGCCCCACTACTACCTGCCTACTTTCCATTTTCTAACAGATGGAAAAAATACGCAATGCTTTAGTAATTTTCATATCATCCTTACATAGGGATCATATTCATTTTCTTTGTGTTGTTCCAGTTTTAATATATATGATGTTGAGGGTTTTTTCTTTCCCCCTCAGTCTTTCTTTTTGTGTGTGTGTATGTATTTTCTCAATTTTTTAATAGTCAGATTTCTCAGAGGTAGATTATTTGGATAGAACAACTGTGTCCCCAAAACTTTTAAGGAAACATTTTTTTTTCAGAAATTATTAATTTAAGTCATTTTGTGTGTGTGTGTGTGTGTGTGTGTGTGTGTGTGTGTGTGTGTGTGTTTTAGTCATTGTATCTTTTGGGAATTGTTACCTGGAACTTAAAGGATAAGAAAGTAAAAATATGTTTTGTTATTTGGGAGTAATGGTTCATTGGCCTAGGAATTTATCCTTTTGGATTTTTACTTTTGGAGCTATGACCTAGAAGAAATCTCACAAATGGTTTTGTTGCTTGAGAGCATGTTGTTTATTTTGGCTCTTATTGTATCTACTTCGTATTTGTACTGACAAGTGGCAAAGTAATATGGTTGGCATTTTTGTTTGTTTTGTGCTGGGAATTGAGATGGAACCTAGCGCCTGCATCCCCAGTGCTAGACAAGCGACCTACTGCTGAGCTGCCTCTGCCTCTGCTCTGTGTGAGGCAGGGTTTCACCAAGTCACCCATGTTGGCCTACAACTTGCTCTGTAGCCCAGAGAAACTGTGAACTTGAATTCTTCCTGCCATAGCCTCCCAGGGAACTGGAATTATCTGTTTTAAGCCAGGAGGCTTGGCTAAATTTTTTTTTAAATAAATACAGTAATTGTTATTTTGATACCTAATTTTCTTGTTCTACAGGACGAAGTGGTGTAATTTTTAAATTAGGTATATTCCTTTTGTAGTTTACTATAAGAATTTATGGTTTTTTTTGGTTTGTTTTTTATTTTACTCCTTAATATTTATATTATTATGTTATTAATAATATTCTCTAGCTGAACCTAAGTGTTGTTCATTTCTACCTTACTGTGTCAATGTCAGATACACCGGCTCATTAAATAATTACATGAAGACTGACAATCTTCTTTGGTTTACACTTTAAGTGTAATAGGAATAGATTTGATTGTTTGTATTGATAAATAAGCCCTAAGTAGGCTTTCATAAGCATTATTCCTTCTTAGACAGTATTATTAAAATTTTTTGAATGAAAATAATGTTTTAATTGTAAGATCTGTTAGCTTTTGATTAATTCAGCCAAGAGGTTGTTAGTAAGTTAGAATATAATAATGCTTTATACTTAATTTTAACTTATGAATGTATTTAGCTTATAAATATATAGTTTTTTCTTTAAATTGTAAATAGGCAGGTTAACATAACTTTGAACTAGTTTTGTAATACCAATGAACTAGTTAACAGTGAAAAGTACTGTTTGGGGCTTGTGTGATGACTCAGTGGGTAAAGGTGCTTACTGTCAGGTCTAATGACCTGAGTTTAATTACCAGATCCCACATGGTGGGAGGCGAGGGCCAACTCCTAAAAATTGTCCTCTGACCTTCATACCCATGTGTGTATACAAAATAAATGTTTAAAAAAGTATGTACTGCTGTAGTGTTTTGTTGGAAATGACTTTTATGTGATTACCTAAGGTAACTTTAGTACCTGTTGTAATGCTGACTGATACTTCTCAGTCACAGCACTTAGCACGTTACTTCCAGTGATTTATTTATGGGTTTATCATTGTCATTGGTATGTGAATTCTAGGGAGCATACACTGCCTGATTAGATGACATTTATTTTTACAGTGTTTAGTTATCATTGTGCTCAGTGTTCAGTGTGAATGTTTATGAGGATGACCACAGCAATGCTAGAGTTTCTGTAAGATGGTATCCTCTGGTAATGTTGAGGTCGCCTTAGTTACACTCTAGGATGTTTATTGGTGACATCACCTGACACTGATTTCTCAGAACATGTCCTCATTACTAAGTGATGCACAATCATACAACCATTCACAGAAGCCGCAAAGGCAGACAGTCAGAGGGAGGACACTCAGTCTGTTTTCTCCACCTTGCATTGCCAATGCCAAGAACAGAACCTTGTGTGTGATAGGCTGTCCAGTAATGTTTGTGAAAAAAATAAATACTGTTGATAAAAATTTTATGTTAAGTATGACTTAAGTTAACATTTGAGTTACTGAGCATACACTTGCCTAACTTAAGTATAATTAATTTCAAAGGACAGTATAAAACTCCAAGATTGTTCAGCATTGTGTGATGAGGAAGAAGAGGAAGATGAAGGAGAAGCTGCAGACATGGAAGGTATTACTAACCAGATTTGCTTAATACCTGTAGACTGTTGATTCTAGGATACTTACACTTCACATGGAATAAGAATTCTCTTGATTTGAGATTCTCCTATTTTACTTAGAACATGATTTTGACAACATTATTTCTACTAGGACTGTTAATCATAAATTCTGAAGGATGCAGTATACAGTATCTTTTTTTTTTTTATTGTGTTGGCAAGGTTTAAAACATCCAGGCTCAGAAATCCTCCCACCTAACACCTTTTTTAAGTGTTAGGTAGGACTCAGTCCTATGCTTTTAGCCCTGGAAAGATAGTAGCTCGTTTTGTTTTTTAAGCAGGATCTTATGTAGTTCATTCTGGCCCAAGATTGATGATATTTCTGCCTCAGCCTTGTGAGTGCTGGGATTCCAGGGGTGTATCATGCCTGGGAAAGAGAATGAGTCTTAATGGGGACTTTGGAGCTATGCAGAATCCTCTTTTATTCTTTAGATTTTGAAATAGCCTCCAAGGTTGCCAGATGAGAATCATCATCTACAAGACAACTCCCACAACTAATATTAGGAAATACTACCAAAGAGGGGCAGAAATATTATAAGAGCCAATGGATTGGGAGTTTGCTGTGATATTGTAGCTTCTAATACTATTAGAAACTATATCCATTTAAAGTCTCACCAACATGACTGCCTAAATGTGAGCTGAACTAGGAACAGCAGTAGACATGCTAAAGTGGGTGGGAGACCTCAACTCTACACAAAGAACTACAGGTAACTAAGGAATTCTGAGAATGTGAGAAATAGTCTTCCCCGGGAGGAAGCACATCACTTGGTTATCAATACCAAATACTCTTGCAAACATACTTTGTAAGTAACATTATACAGACTAAGCAGTTTATATTTTCATATTTGTATTTGTTGCTACATGTAACAACAACAGTTAATGAGAAGAGAGGCCATGGATTTGAAAGCAAGGGTTTTTTTTTTTTTTTAATGAGTCATTATTACAAAGGATCAAAACCAACAGTTCTAAGAGAATGGTGTTTTAGTTACTTTCACATCACCATGTTAGATGATAGATGCCAGGGAGGAGAGATCTATTTTGGTTCACTTTTAAGAGTTTTCAGTTCTTTATTAGTGGGAAGGACATGGTGGAGTTGACCCTGTTGATGTTGTGAGGAACGTGTGGTTGATGGGTTTGTTCACACAGTAGCAGACTAGGAGAGCGAGCAGCTAAAACCTAGGGCTAAGTTATAGCCTGCAGGAACACAGCTTACTGATTTACGTGTTCCACAAAGTAAGCCCTACCTCTTCAAGGTTTCACAACCTTCTAAATAGTGCTGTCAGACGGCAACACTCAAAACATGAACCTGTGGTGGATGATGTTACACATTCAAAGCATAACGGAGTAATAGGATTTTTTTCTAAATACATGACTCTTCAAAATTACTATTTTATCTTTTTACAATTATTTTTTTGTGTATGAGTGTTTTGCTTGCATGTAAGAGTGTGCAATCATGTTCATAAAGGATTAGAAAAAGCTGTTGGGTCCCTTGGAACTAGAGTAATGGATAATTGTGAGTTACCATGTAGGTGTAGGAAACCAAGCCCTGGTCCTCTGCGAGAGCAACCAGTGCTCTTAGCCATTCAGCCACCTTTCTAGCCCCTTCTGTTTCATTCATCTTTGATAGAAATGAAATCTCAGATAGTTAAAATAGATAAAAGAATTGCTATCTTCATATGATGACCTCCTTGTCAAACACAATCTTAGTGTATTTAGTGTCTCTGTATTGTTTGATTGTGTTAAACACATTCTCTTATTTTTTTTCTTCTTTTATTTCTATGATGCTGACTTTTCTTCCTTCACTTTTATGTCTGCCATTGGGCCTTTTATTTTTTTGTGCAGCTATTAAATATTATTATTGTATCATTGTTAGCCTCTCCCATTCATATTTTTTAAAAAAGAATTATGTGTTGAGATACAGTTTATGCTGGAGGTGAAGCAGACATGATCTTTTCTAATTCTTGCTTTAGCAAGGTAAGAATACAGAAATGATAAATGTGTTAGATGTTTTCAGTGCTAAGAGAGAAAGATGAGACGAGAGAATAGGATATCTTGGGGGAGTACCATTTCAATATTTTGCTAAATCAGTCAAGAAGAATATACCTGCAATGAAGGGGTTAAAAGCCCTGAGGTGGGAACATTTGTTGCTTGTATAAAGTATTCCAGAGGTAGAGAAGAATAAAAAGATAGTAGACAGTGGAGTCAGAAAAGTAATTGGAAACCACGTGGTAGAGAGTCCTACTTACAGGCTAGTCCAGGTAATCCAACAATGGCTGCCTCTGAACAAACGGTCCAAGAATCTTGTAGTTGTTCAGTCCATGAGGCTGCATGTGCTCAGTTCATCTTCAGTGTACATCAGAATCCTGAAGAAGTAGGCTCTAAGTGGACTTGTTAGTGGGGATGACAGCAGGCAAAAAAAAAAAAAAGAGTTTTCTTTTTTCATGTCCTTTATATAGGTTGTCAGCAGGGAGTATGATCAGAGAGAGATTAAAGGTGTGTCTCCCAACCTCAGAAGATCTGGATTAAAAGTGTATCTTCACATCTCAAAGATCTGAATTAGAAGTGATTTAATTAGGAAAAAATCTCTTACAGGTGTGCCCAGCCATTTTAATTTTAATTCAATTCCATATGTAGTCAAGTTGATGACCAAGAATAGACTTACAGTGAAAGGAAAAAGAAAATGGGAAGCTTTTCTGAAAATATAGGCAAAATGATAGTAGCTTGAGCTGGAATCATA